ATAAGAGAACTTCATGTGAGGTAGAATTATAGCAAAGGTTTAGTAATTTGCCCAAGGTCACGCATTTATTAAGTAGCAGAGCTGGGATTTGAACCCAAGCAGTTTGGCTCCGGAGTCCAAACTCCTAACTACTTCGTCAGTATTAACTTTTGTTTCCTCTGCCCTGGACCTGAGAGGAGACACCCTACGTGGGACACCCCTGAATTCCCCATCACATAACATGCAGAGGATCTGAGTTATGCCGTTGTTGACCGAAACAAAAAATGCACAATGTGAGAGCTGTGGCTTTCAGTTTTATTTGAGGACCTTACTGAGGACTATAGCCCAGAAGACAGCCTCTCAGATAGCTCTGAGGACCTGCTCCAAAGGGTTAGGGGAGGAGCCAGGATGTATATGAGTTTTTCTGGCTGGGAATTATATGTATTCAAGGATACATCCTGGTAAAAGATTACTGTTAATCACAAAAAAACCCAGATATTTCAAGTTCATGATTTTAGTGCTTATCTCTATATGGGAAGATGCAAGAATCTGGGGTCATTGAAATTCTTCCTTAGATATGCATTTTAACTAGCTAGGAGCTCATATACCCAAAACATGGAATGCTTCATCCTGTTTTTGTCCTGAATTCCTTTCAGGGTGTACTGAAGGTCAGCGACTACAGTGGCTAATGACTTGATCCTTGTAGAACTGGGTGGCAGGCACTTTCTTTGCTCTACACCCTGCAGATTCACATCACTTGCCAGCATCACCCTGCTTCGCTTGAGCACTGACACCTTCAGACTCCCAGCGTAAGACCTGGCGATCTGAGGATATTCTGATTTCCCAGAAAATGGTTCTTTTATCAAACTAGAGCCTCTCAAAAAAGAAAAAGCTGGTTTTAACTTCTCTGTAGTGGGGGCGGGGGGGGGGGGAACTACTATCCATTAGCAAAACTAATGGTAGCTACTTCTGATTTCTATGGGAGAAGCAAAATTCCTCTGCAGAGAGACAATTCTTTAGTTTAGAAAAATACTCTGATGCATCTTAATGGGGTGTTTTTATTTGGGGCCTGGTTTTGGTTCATTTAAAAAAATTTTTGCTGTTACTGTAGGCACCTGAGTGTAAATGGATAGGAGTGTGTGAAACAATGAGAGTTGGACTGCTCTGTGTAGTAAGGTGAAGAAAATTTTGAGGGCACCCCAGAGAGAGAAGATAAGGCACTTGACCGAAAATGGAAGAGGTATGAAGGCAACCTGAAGACAGAAAGAGGCTCAAGAAGATGCCCAGGCATTGGGGCCATCAGAAGAGAAAACTGGCCAGGGAGAAATGCCCCGTAGGGAGATGGTCAATGGTCTTTAGGGCAGTGATGTCTGATACCAAGTTTAAAGTTGTTTGCTGTGCTATGTGATCCTGAGAGAGGTCAGCAGCTCCAGAGGAGACAGGAGCAGTGACGGGGGAGGGGAGGATAGTAGGAGCAAGACTGTTTATAAAAACAGCCTCCTAATAAAAGGCAGAATCAAGATTGGAAAGGAAGAAGTAAATCTATCCCTAGTCACAGACAACATGCTCTGGAACATAGAAAATCCTAAGGAATCCACAATAAGACTATCAGAACTAATAAAAAAAATTCTACAAGGTTGCAAAATATAAGATCAATATATAAAAATCAATTGCATTTCTATGCACTAGCAATGAACAATCCAAAAATGAAATTAAGGAAACAGTTCCATTTATGATAACATCAAAAGAAATAAAATACTTGGGAATAAATTTAACAAAAAAGTGCAAGACCTATATACACATTACATTGTATATAAACACATCATCACTGAAAAAAATTAAAGAAGACTTAAATGGAAAGACATTCTATGTGCATGGATGGGAAGACATTATTTTTAAGATGACAATTTCTCCCAAATCGATCTACAGATTCAATGCGATCTCTATAGAAATTCCTGCCTTGTTCACAGAAGTTGACAAGCTGATCCGAAAATTCACATAGAAATGACAGGGACCCACAATAGCCAAAACGATTTTAAAAAACAACGAAATTGGAGGGGACTAGTAATTCCTGATTTCAAAACTTACTACAAAGCTTCAGTAATCGAGACAGTGTGCTACTGACGTAAGGATAGACATATAGAGCAAGAGAATAGAGTTAAGAGGCCAGAAATAATCTCATATGCCTACAGTCAATTGATTTTCAATAAGGGGAGAGAATTCAGTGGAGAAGAATAATCTTTTCAACAAATGGTACTAGGACATGCAACAGAATGAATTTGGATCCTATCTCACACCATACACAGAAGTTAAATCAAAATGGTATAAAGACCTAAATTTAATAGCCAAAACTATAAAGCTCTTTGAAGAAAACATACACATAAATATTCGTGATTTGGGGTAAGACAATGGTTTCTTAGACATGACACCAAAAGAACAAGCAACAAAAGGAAAAATAGATAAACTGGATTTCATGAAAATTTAAAACTTTCATGTTTCAAATGACAGTATCAAGAAAGTGAAAGACAAGCCCACAGAATGGGAGAAAAAATTTGCAAATCAGGTATCTGACAAGGGACTTGTATAGAGAATAAAGAACTCATAACTCAGCAACAAAAATCCAACCCATTGAAAAATGGTCAAATCATTTTGCTATTTCTCCAAATAAGATATACAAATGACCAACACGCATATGAAAAGATGCCCAATATCATCGGTCATTAGGGGAATGAAAATCAAAACCGTGATGCTATAATTCTCATCTACTAGGATAGCTATAATCAAAAAGATGAACAAGTGCTAGGGAGGATGCAGAGAAGTTGAAACTCTCATATTGCTGGTGGGAATATACAAGTAGGCAGCCCCTTTGGAAAACAGTATGACAGTTCCTCAAAAAGTTAAACACAAAGTACAATGTGATCTTGGAATTTCACTCCTGGATAGATATCCAAGAGAACTGAAAACATACCTCCACACAAAAATGTGTACACGAATGTTCACGGCCTTATTGCTTTTGGCCAAAAAGAACAACTCAAATGCCCATCAGCTGATGAGTGGATAAGCAAAATGTGGTTTATCCAGACGATGGAATATTATTCATCAATGAGAAAGAATAAAATACTGATACATGTTACAATATGGATGATCCTTAAAAATATTAAAGAAGCCAGACACAAAAGGCCACATACTGTGTGATTCCGTTTACATGAAATGTCCCGAATAGGCAAACCCACAGAAACAGAAAGTAGAATGTGGCTGCCAGGAGCTGGGGGGAGGGAATAATGAAGAGAGGCCTCTGATGGGTATGAAGTTTCTTTTTAGAATGACGAAAATGTTCTGGAATTAGATTGCAGTGATGGTTGCACAACTTTGAAATATACTGAAAACCACTAAATGGTACAACTTGAAAAGCATGAATTATATATGAATTATACCTCAATTTAATAATATTTTTTAAAAGCCTCCTTTTCACCAAGTATAACCAAAAGAAGGTGAGCCTGCTGAAAAGGTAGGGAAACAGTTGGTAGGGGAGGAAATCACCTCATTCCTAGAGAAAGACCCTAAAAAAAGAGTATTCTTTTCTTTAACTCAAAAGAATTAAAGGTGGCTTCTAAGGCATTCACACTCGAAGTACTGCACCAGATAGCAATTTCATCTAAGGTAGAAAGTGGTTTCAGACAGTTCTGACGGAAAAAAAAAGGAAAAGAGACTTCCAAAACGGTGTGTTGTGGGCAGATGTTTTTGGCTTTTCAGAGTGGCAGGAGTTCAAAGGAGGTGTGTGTAGGATTCTCTGGCTGCAGGTAAGCCTTTATCTCATAAGACTAGAAATGTTCTCAGAAAGGGCAGGCTGAAAGTATACTTGGGGCCTGAGAGCCAGCCCCAGCTAGGAGTCACCCAGCAAAGTGGGAGGGGGCACAGCCCTGGGTAGGCCCAAGGTCTGGGAAGAGGAGTTACCTGGACAAGGCTGGCCTTCCCACCCCTGCCCCACTGCCCTCAGTGGACCTGTGCTGGCACTTGTGGTCGGTTCACGATGCTACCGACCACACCTCGATGAGACTGTGGCAGAGCCCGTTTCTGTGACCTGTGACATGGTTTGTCCGTAACTTGAGCAACTGGGGAAAATGAGTGCCCCTTCCAGTTCAGTCCCTCAGTTCCCCAGTTTACAGTGCTCTTTTCACTAGAACTTATTTTCCAGAATGCTGTGTTAAGAATGTTTACAATTTAGGGAACACCAAGTTCAGCACAATGCATTTTCCCTGGTTTCTGTGTCAACACCAAGGCCAGGCAACCTGACCCATCCTCCTCTCACCCTCCTGATAAAGTAAATAAAATCCCCACTGAGATGGTCTTTGCCAGTAAGGGAGGGACTGTGTACATGATGACTCCCTGGCAGAGAAAAGAATGAAGAGCCAGCAAGTAGTTAGATGTGTCTGAAAGCAGGCTTAAGAATAGCTCCCACATACTTTCTACCAGGCAGAAATTCACTTTTTCCACAGGTATTGAACGAGGGCCATGGCTACTGGCTATCCTCACCTCTGTGTCAGTTGTTTTCATCTGATCAGCCACTGATTGAACAGTCTCTGGGTTTGGGGCTGGGAAGGCAGAAAGAGAAGAAAAATACCACACAGGAAGAAATGAGCACCTACTTGGGTCAAAATTTGCTATTAACCTTGTGAGACCAGTTAGGGCTCGATGGGGCTTGAGACTTCATTCTTCCTGAAGGGAAGTGTGGACACTGAAGGAGGGAAGAGTTAAAGGGAGAGGGCAGCAGAAACCAAGGTCAGCAGGGTGAGGGTAGAAGATGCGGAACACCCTCAGAATACCTGGGAACCCCACCACCACACACGCGCACGCGCACACACACACACTTTATTCCTACCCTCCGCCCAGGCTGGAGGCCTCTTTCTCACGCAAGAAAAAGTAACAGGTAGCCACACCAGAACACCAGCGTCTGAAAACTGAACCATAGAAAAAAGGTATCGCCTACTCCTGCCTCTTCATCAGGGAGTGGCAACACTCACCAGGGACAGCCAGCAGCACGGTCTCTTATCTGAAGTTCAGCCAGAAAATCAGCGAGGTCCATGTCTCCAGCTTTTTCCTCCTCAGAGGACACCCCTCACTGGTAGGAAACTGTTGACCGAAACTGTCCTCCTTGGCCAGGCACGAGAATAGCCGCTTGAGTGAGTTACCTCATAATAGGAGGTCCCAATAAGGAACAAGGGACTGACAGCTGCCGCCAAAACCAACCAGAAGAATTTGGGAGGGGCCAAAAGGAAGGAGGAGATGCCAGCCCCTGATATGTCCTGCCAACCTCCCAGAAACGCTCGCGCTGTAAACCATCTTGACTGAGAGTTGCGTGTGCCAACAAGAAGGGCCCTGGCGAGACCAAATATGGGCACGAGCAAGATGATGGACCAGAGACAACCTGGAAGGCTAACTCCACCACCATAAAACCTGAGACTGCAAGCCAGGAGGCAGAGCAATTCTCCAGGGTTCCCTCACGCCTCTGCTCTCCCCTCCAGCACCCTTTTACAATAAGGTCTTTTGCTCTGTCAGTACTTGTGTCTCCTTGGACCATTCATTTCTGAGTGTTAGACAAGAGCCCACTCTCAGGCCCTGGGAGGGGCCCCCACCCACCCTGAAGCACCACCACTATAGGACAGAAGGAGAAGGGGTCAACTGCCTAGGTTCCAGCCCCTTACCTTTGGACACTTCAAAACTACCGCCTGTTAATGTTGTAGGCTTCTAGCTCCAGTTCTGAAATCGACTAGTCCCAAGTTCAAACCTCAGCTCTTCTTCTAAAAAGCTAAATGACTTTGGGAAGTTACCTTCTCAAAAACATCTAAGGGGAGTTGTCAGGTAACGGATGCACGGGTTTGGACCTGAGGGCACTAGACCAAAGATATAAACTTGAAAGTCAGCTGTTGTTGGAGGCGACTGAAGCTCGGGCTTAGGTGAGGTTGCCCAGAAAGAACACAGAATGATTAGAGAGCTCAGGAGTGTTGGGGAAAATCATCAAAACCTCAAAAATGGGCCATAGAGACTACTGAGCTCTGGGCATTGTCCAGTGGACCCTCTGGGGATTATCTGATTCTGTAGAGCTGTGCACCTTTCATTGTCTTCCTATTGGCCAGGCTATTTTACAACTTTCTAGGGATAGAGGTTAATTTGTGGAAAACTGATAGCAATGCAAATGATTGTTGTCCATAGCATGGTGAATAAATGTTGTCCCAATAGAGATACAACTGATTTTTACCCTGTAGAAAAGATGCCCCCAAGAATTACGTTTTACTGTTCTATATTAACCATTTTGCATCTATTAGCAAATTCATTTCAGCATTCCTGAATATATATGCCTGTTTTTCAAATTCTCCCTGAACCTGATTTTAACACCTTCCTGGTTTCTTCATTCATTAATGGGCTACATAAAATCTTTAACGTGTTCCGTTCCCATTTATGTGAGACTTGATTTTACCGTTTTGAAAATGCTTTAGCGGGACCAAGCCCTTGAGGAACACCAGCAGATGGTGGAGGAACATGATCTTACAAAGGAGGGAAGGAAAAAGCAGCCAGTGAAGCAGGTGAAAGCAGCAGGACAGTCTGGGCACAAAAGCCAAGGTAAGATGAGCGTTTTGAAAACAGGGAGTGGGCAACTAAATCCAAAGAGTATTTAATTAATTTTCATCTGACTTGACCACACAACTGCACGTAGCACACAGCCCTCCTGCTGCTGTTCTGCGCCAGCCATTCCTCACACCAGATGTGAGGCAAACTTTTCTAAACCATTCAAAGCACTGGATGTCTTGTTACTCCCTTCTCCTGGGACCGGAGGCCAACTTGTCTGACATTTACATAACCAAGGGAACCTACTCAAGCATCTTTTGTAGAACAAGGAACATTTACTTCAAGGTGGTTTTCTGTTCCCAACTTGAATCAGGTGGCACTATTAAAAAAAAAAAAAAAAAGGAAAGGCCCTGATCTGTCAGCGAACCGCTTTAAATAGAGTATATATTTAAGTGCTACTCTTAACACCCTTAGAGGTTGTCCCACCACCTTAACATCATGGGAAGACAATCAGTTGGCAAATTTGATCATTCCTTCATTTCCAGCTCACAGATGGGAAAACTGAAAAGAATTATGCAGCTCATGCATAAATTACTCATCTCCTCAACCTTGCTCTTACTTCTTATGTGAACTTGGGATCTCAGTAAGCCCAATTTCTCCGTTTTTTTCCCATGCTCTGACCTTCGGATAGATTGCATATATCATAGCAAAAATCTTCCCCTATCATTTTCCAACTCCTACAACCTGCAGAAAGCAGGAGCAGGTTGTGATAAAAATCACTGAAATCCACCCAATAGGTTTTTTTTTTTAAAGCAAACCCTTTCAGGTGTTCTCTAACCCTTAAAATCATAAGCCACAGGGAACGATTAAAGATGCTCTCATTTTTTTTTTCATCCCCATTGTCCAGGTTGAAGGGAAATACCCCAGCCACCAGCAGTCATCATGACTTTTCATGTGTTAAGCACCCAATACACAGATCAACCTCGTGAATTGGGTGCTCTACTGCATCACCTGCTATGATCTTTCCAGGTTCACCCACAAATGACACTTTAGCTAACAAGCCTGAAGTTCGTCTGCTCATCAGAAGGGCGCTTTAAGAAATTACCCATTTGTCTAGAACTGGAGGTGGCTGCAGTCACTGGCATTCCAGATGGTCCCACTTTTCAGCATTACAGATTCGAGGGGAGGAACCTGACAGCACAGTATACCTCCCTCTCCAGCATCCACCTTCTCGTCTGCTTCCTAAAGACAAAGATGTGCTGGTAGTCGTTTTCAAGCTTTAGAGTTCTTGGTATTATTACAGAATAACCACAGCCCAAATTCAGATGGCATTTGTGAGTACATGCTAGTAACACCTCGGTATATTCCAACCGTTGCCATGCTTACACTTAACAAAATGTTGGTTAATTCTACTGAATAGCCACTAGATGGCAGGCTTCAACCTCCTAAATCGGAGGTTTAAGGATCTCCAATGGTTCCAGTCTTTGCTGCCTGCAGGGCTGGGGGACACTGAAATGACAAGCTGTGGGCAGAGGCATCTCTTCCTTTTATTAATACTCCCAGGCACAGCTTGAGCAGTTCTCACTTCACTTTAGGAAGCTGATCTGGCTGGGCATTCATTTGGTTTAAGAAGAAAAATTCCGCTATTAAAAAAAAAAAGAAGAAGAAGAAAAATTCCCTAATCACTTCTCAGGTGACATAATTTTATGCTTTAGCTCCTGCCTTCATAGAAAAACAAAAATGTCTACCCAAAAGATTCATGCTGGCCCCACGTAATATCAAACATCAAAAGCTCTCCCAGAGATCTCCATCTCAACGCTAAGACCCAGCTTCACTCAACGACCAGCAAGCTACAGTGCTGGACACCCCATCCCAAACAACTAGCAAGACAGGAACACAAGCCCACCCATTAGGAGAGAGGCTGCCCAAAATCATAATAAGGTCACAGGCACGCCAAAACACACCACCGGACGCAGTCCTGCCCACCAGAAAGACAAGATCCAGCCTAATCCACCAGAACACTGGCACCAGTCCCCTCCATCAGGAAGCCTACACAACCCACTGAACCAACCTTACCCACTGGGGGCAGATACCAAAAACAAAGGGAACCACAAACGTGCAGCCTGTGAAAAAGAGACCCCAAACACAGTAAGTTAAGCAAAATGAGAAGACAGAGAAATAAACAGCAGATGAAGGAGCAAGGTAAAAACCCACCAGACCAAACAAATGAAGAGGAAATAGGCAGTCTACCTGAAAAAGAATTCAGAGTAATGATAGTAAAGATGATCCAAAATCTTGGGAAGAGAATGGAGAAAATACAAGAAATGTTTAACAAGGACCTAGAAGAACTAAAGAGCAAACAAACAATGATGAACAACACAATAAAGGAAATTAAAAATTCTCTAGATGGGATCAATAGCAGGATAACTGAGGCAGAAGAACAGATAAGTAACCTGGAAGATAAAATAGTGGAAGTAACTACTGCAGAGCAGAATAAATAAAAAAGAATGAAAAGAACTGAGGACAGTCTCAGAGACCTCTGGGACAACATTAAACACACCAACATTCGAATTATAGGCATCCCAGAAAAAGAGAAAAAGAAAGGGACAGAGAAAATATTTGAAGAGATTATAGTTGAAAACTTCCTTAATATGGGAAAGGAAATAGTAAATCAAGTCCAGGAAGCACAGAGAGTCCCATACAGGATAAATCCAAGGAGAAACATGCCAAGACACATATTAATGAAACTATCAAAAATTAAATACAAAGAAAAAATATTAAAAGCAGCAACAGAAAATCAACAAATAACATAAACGGGAATCCCCATAAGGTTAACAGCTGATCATTCAGCAGAAACCCTGCAAGCCAGAAGGGAGTGGCAGGACATATTTAAAGTGATGAAAGGGAAAAACCTATAACCAAGATTAATCTACCCAGCAAGGATCTCATTCAGATTCCACGGAGAAATTAAAACATTTACAGACAAGCAAAAACTAAAAGAATTCAGCACCACCAAACCAGCTTTACAACAAATGCTAAAGGAACTCCTCTAGGCAGGAAACACAAGAGAAGGAAAAGACGTACAATAACAAACCCAAAACAACTAAGAAAATGGTAATAGGAACATACATATCGATAACTACCTTAATGTAAATGGATTAAATTCTCCAACCAAAAGATATAGACTGGCTGAATGGATACAAAAACAAGACCCATATATATGCTGTCTACAAGAGACCCACTTCAGACCTAGGGCCACATACAGACTGAAAGTGGGGGGATGGAAAAAGATGTTCCATGCAAATGGAAATCCAAAGAAAGCTGGAGTAGCAATTCACATGTCAGACAAAATAGACTTTAAAATAAAGACTATTACAAGAGACAAAGAAAGACACTACATAATGATCCAAGAAGAAGATATAACAATTGTAAATATTTATGCACCCAACATAGGAGCACCTCCATACATAAGGCAAACGTTAACAGCCATAAAAGGGGAAAT